TGGATGTTTCATCAAGCAAAAACAAACTAACTTGACTTAAAAAGTGTCCATGTATAGAGTTTGGAGTTACATTACATGTGCTGGTATCTAATATTGAAACAGGAAGTTTGAATAAGCCATGCAATGTAGATCTATTTTTAAGAAGAGTTGCTGCTATGACAGTCCATGCAGCTGTAGCAGATTTTATATTTCTACTGCTGGTTTCAGCAATCAAATAATTATATGTAAACGTTTTTCCACTACCAGCCGGTCCATCCATGAAAAACAATCGAGAATGCTGATTTTCTACACTTGGTTGTTCATTCAATGCAGCAAGAATAGCATTGCATACATTTAATTGATTGACATTGAGCAGTGGTCTCTTTCTATTGGCTTCATCAAATGATTATTGAACATTTTGATTGAAATTTTCTAGATTATCTAGATTTAAATCTAACTTAAATATAACAGGCAGATTATAATCAGCCAGTGTTTTACCACACTAACTAATAATCTTTTCAACTTGACAAAGAGCAGCTTGTTCAGCTATTATAAGCGGGACTGAGCGGTGAATAAAGTCCTCAATCATAAATGCTTTGTATGTATTCCAAAGATGCAAAGGGTGGTCTGGTTCACAAAAAGTCAAAATAATTGCAAATAACTGTCTAATTTGCTTTGGCATACGTGTTAAATCTGCCTCAGAAAGTGCATTTTGCCATTCAGGGTCATCTAGTAACAAACCATTTAAAACGTATGCTTCACGAAATGTTTCAACAACAATACCCTTAACAGTACGCACATCCACCCAAGACTTTGCTCCTTTTGCATGCAAAAGTAACAGCCTAAGAAAAAACAATTCTCCAGTTGGATTAACTTTATACATTCTTACTATCACCTTATTACCACCTCTTTGTCTAACCTTTCATTTCTTTGTCTAACCTTTCAAAGCTTATTATCAAAAATAAAATGATAAGGAATGTCTACATATGAATAGCAACGTGCTCTTTCATTTTCAGAATTTAACTTAAACCATGCCGTAAGGTGTGTATCACGTTGAGCTGCACGATCTTAAGCCATTTGTTCTGCTCCTTCTCTAAAATACACTTATTAATTCTTAGGAAGAGGAACTTTGAGGCGGATAATAGTGTGCGTAATATGACTTATGGGATACTCAAAAATTCGCCACAATGCTTCAGGTGCACTAACATAACGACAGTCTAAAAAAGTGTTGACTTCATGATTAATTTGTTCATTTTATTAAATATTGGCACAGTCGTGACCCTTGTATATGTATTTGTACAAATATTTAACAGCCTTAACAGACATGCAAGCTTCAACATTAATGTGGGCTTGATATTCCTTCGATAACCATGGATTGTAAGGTACCACCCAGCGGTTATCTACATTGTTGCCTTTAATATTGATAACCAAACCGTTATCACGACGCCTATAGCGAGGATAACCATTATGAACTACTACTGTGTTGGAATTAAATTCTTTAGGATAATTTTTGCTGCACACCCCATCTTTCATGCTTGTAGAATTTGGATTCAGTATGCCACATGGGTCATGAAACATGCAAGTTTTAATAACATCATAAAGTTCACGATTTATAATTGGATCTGGAATTTCTGCACATATTAAACTTGATATACTGTGCTGTCTCCAGCTTGTCATCAGTTGCAAAATGAAGTAAAATATGAACTTGTGGTAAAGCACGGTTTTGAAATTCGATAACATGAACATGGGTTACGACTTTCCCTAATACACCATGCTTAAAAATATCATTTAGCAGATTATTTAATTTGTGTTTAAATACTCGTGCAACTAAATCAGGTGTATCATTTGCAGTTTGAGCTGGATATAAATTTTTAGTTATCTCGCGCTATTTTGGGTTGCAGGTAAAAGTAACAAAAAGATCTGGTTAACCAAACTTTTCAATTATAGCCATAGCATCTCCAAAGCTTTCTTTTAAAGCTCTATGACTTCCTACATAAGTAGATTGCAAAACTACAATGCGCTCTGGTCTAACATGATCGTTTTTAAGATTGTTTACATGTTCATGTAAGGCATCATACAGCTCGCTTCTAAGTTTGTTTTGGTTATTTCTGATAAAAGCAAAGCGCTGGCCTTCAATTTTGACATATGCATCAACAGCATATTGCTGAAATAGTTTCTTGCCATAAAAGATTAGAGAAAAAAATTTTCTAACCGAAAGTCTATAATTGTAATACTGAAATAATGTAACATGATTTCTAACCAATGTACCATGTTCAGGGTTGTGAACAAATTGATTATGTCAACCAGCATCACTCCTTGGGAAAAATAGAGGATAAACCATAGGATCTAAGTTGGCAGACATACTTGGTATAGTTTTAAGAGAATGACCTCTCGGGTAAATAACAACTTCTCTGAAAGCAGGAGGAGCACCATCTTCGCCAACAAATACATATGCAACTTTATCATGTGAAGGTAGATTTTAACGACGTCAATCACCGCCTTCATTTTTACAACTCAGACTTAGCGACCTTCTATAGCTGCTTGACGAATTTCTTCATCTTCCACTTAAGCTATGTTTTTAAATGCGAAAGCAAATGGGTTTTCCTCACTAATAATAGTTTGCAACCGAAACATTAAATCATTTAAGCCAAGATCATTACCAGGTTGTCCTATTCTAAAATTTATTGCCGCAAGTGGATCATAAATATATTGTTGACAATATGTTGGAGGAATATCTTGATCTGGCCTAAGATTACCAACACGATGATAAACCTGACCACATATTCTAAAACATGGCGGCCCATGATTCATGGGTTGAACTACATTAGCGGTAAATGAATAAAAAAGAAAGACAGGCATTATAATTTCGAATATGTTTTAAAAAATTAACATTGGCATTTTGATCTCCATAACTTCCTGTAAATAAATCTTGTAAATCTTGCGGAAATGGTGAAAGTTGAGACGAAACTACCTTTCCATTATGGCAACATAAAAAATGTGTTTCATCACGAAGTTTTTTAGCACCACAATGCTGACAAATATGATTCAATTCTCCTAAATAATTATAATCTGGAATAGTATTACTTCTTGCTATACAATGCATTCTTTCATGTCTACCAGCATATCTAGCATTCTGTTGATTATTAATTTCATCTCACCTCATTCTCTGGCGTTTCTGCGACAATAATTTTCAATTTCGCATTTAAATCACATTGTCCTCATTTTGATTCAAATTGTTTGCGGCTTGCCGAGCACCAAATCTAATACTTTGAAGATGATTAATTTCATTTCGCCTCAGCCTATTTCTGGCATTTCTGCGACGATTATTTTCAACTTGCCTAATTTCATTATCCTCATTTTGATTCAAATTATTAGCGGCTTGCCGAGCAGCATATCTAATTTATTGAAGATGAATAAATTCATCTTGCCTTAGCCTATTTCTGGCATTTCTGCGACGATTATTTTCAACTTGCCTATTAACATTTTCATCCATTTAAATTTTACTTTTATTTGATAAAAGAGCAAAAAAACTTGAATTAATCCAGAAGATTGTGATCTTTTTTTTACTACTTTAAAACGCACTTACAAATTGTTTTTAAAAAATGACAGGAGATTTTTATTTAAAATAAACTAAATTATACAACAATCTTGTGCATTTTTTATAAAAAAATTTTCATAAATATATCTGATAATAGACGTTTAAACAAAAAATTAACTTATAATAATAATCTAAATAAAAAAATCAACGAATAGTATAAAAAAATAACAAATAATAAAAATTTTAATTATAAAAGTGCTGCTTAAACAAAAAATAGAAGATAAAATTAAAAAATAAAGTGTTTGTAAATCCTTTTTGTAAACTTCAATATTATTTTTATAAAAAAATTGTTTAAAAAATATAAAATTAATTTAACCTTCACAAACAATGAAATGACTGATCAAAAGTTGTAGTTTAATTTAATTTTCTAAATTCTAAAGAAAAGAACAAAAATCTAACAGCATCACTGAAATGTCAATAATATAATAAGCAACATGACAAAATTTAAATTCAATATATAAAAGATTATTTATCTGTTTTTCTTTTTTCTTATTACTTCCTTTTTTTTTTCTTTATTATTAGGACTATCTATATTACATATTACATAACTATATTAGATTAAAATTAGCTTTTGTTATTACTTTACATAAGTTAAAAGCAGTTTATAAACACTAAATTATTAAATTCAAAACAATAAAAAAATAAAAAAAAAAAAAGAAATAAAATCTGGTGGAAATTAACAAATTATAAACTTTAAATGTGGTTTTATTTACAGTTAATTATCTACTATAGTACATTTATGTGATTTAACTGATATGGTATATATAGGATACAATAACAGACATGTTATATTTTGAACCAAAAATTAAAATAATAGTCTAAAAAATACAAAAAAATAAAAACAAAATTAACATATTATTCATTTCTTTGAGAATAAAACACCAAGGAAAAAACAGCAGCAAAAAAATTGTTTATATCTTCACTGATTAAAGATATTTAAAAATTTTTTGTTGCTGTTTTTTGCTTGGTGCCTCCCAGCACTCCTGTATGGATGAGCTCTCCATTTGAGTGAGGGCTCATCCATACCATTATTAAGGCATTATTTGATAAAGGACCTCTCAGAAAGAGGTCCTGGGTGCTGGGAGCGATAAAGCCTGTAGCTGCTCCAATTTAGATTTAAAGAAATAAAAAATAATATAATAAAAAAAAGATGTCTATTTCTTTAGCATTGTCTGTGCCAGACAATGCTAAATAAATAGAAGGAAAAAAAAAGTAGAGTAAAGTAAAAATTGAACATGTTGATATTTGTGTTTTGAATAAAATTGCAATTTGAAAAAAAATGCATAAAATATAAAGCATATCCTACCAATTGTAGTACCAGATGACGATGCTAAAAAAATGGAAAAAGTAAAATAAAAACTGAACACGTCGATATTTGTATTTCGATTAAAAAATAAAGCATAACCTTACCAATTGTAGTAGTTCCAGATGTCAGCGCTAAAGAAATAAAAAATAAAATAAAAGTAGGGTAAAATAAGAGTAGGATAAATAAAAACTGAACATGTTAATTTTTGTATTTTTATAAAAATATCAAGCATAACCCTACCAATTGTAGTAGTACTACCAGATGTCAATGCTAAAGAAAGGGAAAATAACATAAAAGTTAGATAAAGTAAAAACTGAACAGCTATATATTTGCATTTTTATAAAAATATAAAGCATAACCCAACCAGTTGTAGTAGTATCAGATGGTGAGGCTAAAGAAATGGAGGAGAGAAAAAAAAGTAGAATAAAATAAAAACCAAACAGGTTAATATTTGTATTTTATTCTAAATATAAAGCATTCCCTTACCAATTGTAGTAGTACCAGATGTCACTGCTAAAAAATAAAAAATAAAATAAAAGTAGGGTAAAATAAAATAAAAGTAGGGTAAAATAAAAACTGAACATGTTAATTTTTGTACTTAAATAGAATTATCAAGCATAACTCTACCAGTTGCAGTCATATCAGATGATGATGCTAAAAAAATGGAAAAATTATAAACAAAACATGTTGATACTTGTATTTTATTTAAAATATTAAGTATAACCCTACATTTTATAGTAGTACGGGAGAATGATGCTGAAAAAAAGAGGAAAAAAAAAGAAGAGTAGAAAAGAAAAAATAAACAAATGTAATATCTGTATTCTAATAATCTACAATATAATTGCAAAAAAATTTAAAGCATAACTCTACCAGTTGTCACAGTGTTAGACACTTATAATGACACTTATAAAAAAATTAATGTTATTAATTATTAATAGTTAAAAAAAATTATTAATAGTTAAAAAAAAATTATAAATAGTTAATAATAAAAAGTATGTATGTATCTAAATATAATGTTTACCTGTTTTCCTAATTTCATCCATAAAATCATCTAAGACAAAAAAAAAATTGATAATTTTATAAAAAAGACATCAAAAAAAATCAATCATATCAGTAATTTGAAAAATTATCTTTAAATTAGGATAAACTGACAATGTTGAGTTAAATTTAAGGCTCTATCACTACTCTGTGTGTGTTTGTGTGTGTGTGTGTGTGTGTGTGTGTGTGTGTGTGTGTGTGTGTGTGTGTGTGTGTATATATATATATATATATATATATATATATATATAAATTATCAATTAGTTAAATTATAAAATAATTTATACCTAGTCTAAGTTTCAATTTTCCTATAAAGTAAATAGCAAGTTATAAGTAAACAGTGCAAACTATTAAATCCTAATAACAAATATTTATTGACAAAAATACTGACTGTATTTCTTTAGTGCTTTATCTGAACAATAAATTTAAATACACTTTTATTAAAATCTTTTAAAGACATATTATAATAATCTAATAGTTTTAAAAACAAAATTAATTGCTAATTGGCTAACTAACGACTATAATTTTATCACGTCGCTTATGATAACTAAACAAATTATATATACAATTAACATCTTGTTTTAGACAGAAGTCATCATTAACATATATATTCAGTTCTACTAAATAAAATTTAAAACTTACTTTCATCTTCCCCATCATTGTCAACTTAATGAAAATTCAACTCCAAAAATACTCTACTATATACTACTAATATTTTAAATTTTACTTAAATATTTAAAAAAATCAACACTTACCTTCAGTTTCATCTCCGTGGTTAACTAAATAGAAATAAATATTATTTACAATCTGCACTTGAATATAATAATATAAATCAAAATATAAATGCATATAGCTTGGTGATGATACAAGCAATCTAATGCATATAGCAATATATGTATAGCATACAAGCAATCTAATGCATATAGCTTGGTAATGATATCAGCAATCCATTTGTTGTTAATGGAAATGCATATAGCTAGGTGATGATACCAGCAATCCATTTGTTATTAGAGATGCATATAGCTTGGTGATGATACAAGCAATCCAATGCTGTTTTTAATGTTAATAATGCATTTTTAATGTTAATAATGCATACAGCTAGGTAATAGTCAATCCATTTCTTGCCACTCCTAAATAGTAAGTAATTTTTCTTTGATTTTGACTTTTTGTTATAAGCTGTTGAATGTCTATTGTACCCAGAAGGCTAATCGAATCATTTTTTTTTAAGCCAGTGTTCAATATTTGCAACATGATCCGCAAGTGTTACGTTTACGTTTTAGAATTTGTGAATCGCTTTTTTTAGATGTTTAAGTTTCTGTAATCTTGTCCATTTTTTAATATTAGCTTCGTTTTAAGTTACATTTAGTTTTCTACCGAAATTTCTACAAATTTTAAAAAACCTATAGAACACACGCCACAGAACGAAATTTGAGTTTGTATGTATTGTATATATTGTTGGAATATGTTAGATATATTGTTTTTGTTTAAAGAAGAATATAACATCATAATCATAATTTAACAAAAGTTGATGTTGTCTTTATAACTTTGTTGATTATATAGGAAAAAATTAATCCAAAAAGTGGCTTGGCGTTTCAATATTAATTGTAAACAATTTATGCATGTTGAATGTATTTCTCGAACAAAAAGGCGAGTAAACCGAAAAATTTTAAATTTATTTTGACTACGTACACGTATAGGCGGTTCATAAGTAAACAACCTCAACATTTAATTTTAAATATTTTCAATGTACACAGCAGTCCTTGCATTGGAAGAAATTTCTGATAAGTCTCTTGACGTCTAGCAGTTCATAAGTTAAATAAAAAACTTGGTTTTTGTATGAGTCATAAAAGTAAGCGACATTGTTGTGCTAGATCATCATGCTTGTTAAACATTTTCTTTAGGTGGAAAAACAGATTTTGTTAAAGACATTTTAATACGAATAAAATTTGCGTTATAACTAAAAGCAGCCATGAAGCAATGGTTATAGCGCTTGCTTAAAAAGCAAAGTGTTTCGAAGCGAGCTCTGCGTATTTAACGCCATCGGCAAGGTAATGAAGGTTTGAACTTGAGGATTAAACGATATTCAGCGGTACTCTGTGAAAAGACCGTTGGTGCTCATTAAGGTTTGTTTTTTTTTTGACGAAAAAAAAAAACAATAACAATAACATGTAAAAAAGTAAAACTACTTCACAATTTTCAACATATAAGACGATTAGACAAATAATTTTAAATTGTAGATGTATTTTCAAAATACATTCTAATTTAAAGCTATGGTGAAGCAATATTTTGTAACTGCTGCTATTCCCTTTATTTTGTTGTATTTTAGTATTACAAAAATATTCTATTGCATTTCAAAAAATTACATTTACAGTTTCAATTAAAGCTATGAAAAATGAAGACAAAAATATAACCGAAAAATTATGCACGTATATTTATTGCTATGATAATGCAGCTATTACAGGATTTTAAAACTGCATTAATTATGGTAACTGTTAGAAATATTTTACAGATGAATAGGCGATAAAATAATTCAGAACTATAACAAATTTTTAGACGTTTTGAGACTGATATATTGACGACTCAATATTATTTTATATAAAATACATTTAATGTAGCATAACAAAAAATAAGATAAACTTTTAAAACCGTTCTCGATTTCCAATTGCTCAACACGTTGTACTAAAAAGGTTAAGGAAATATATTAAGTAAGTCATTAAAACCAACTTTGAATTTGAGCAACCAATAAATATGAAAAATTGCTCATAAATTTTCAGTACAGTAAAATAAAGTTAAAATCAACATAATATACTTACGCAGCTTTTGCAGCATCTTTTCTACACCTTAAAACACAAAGTGAAAACAAGAAACAAATATTTTAAAAATGACAACAAATACAAAAGATTTGCAATTATTTGTTGTTTACCTGAAAATATGATGGCTCCATTCTTCTGCTTGGTTCTAAAAAAAATGTTATACTATTATATTTAGAACTGTAGTTATAAAAACATTGATAAAATAAGAAAAGTAATCAAACATCAAATGTATACTTGACATTTTCGTTAATCTTGATCCACATTCGTCTTCTGAAAAAAAAAAAAGTAAGATCGATTAGTTTGAGAGAATAAGGAAAAAGTTGTGTAACTAATACAAAAGATTCGTGATTTATTTTTGTTTACCTGAGGACGAAGACTCTGTTTTTCTCTTTGGTTCTAAAAAAATCTTACACTATTATATTTGGAACTGTAGTTATAAAAACATTGATAAAATAAGAGAAGTAATCAAACATCAAATGTATTATGTTATCAAATGTATACTTGACATTTTTGTTGATCTTGATCCACGTTCGTCTTCCGAAAAGAAAATGTAAGATCGATTAGTTTGAGAGAATAAAATAAAAATTGTGGGAACTAATACAAAAGATTCGTGATTATTTGTTGTTTACCTGACAACAAAGGATCCGTTCTTCTTACACTCATATATTTGGAAATGTAGTTATAAAAACATTGATAAAATAAAAGAAGTAATCAAACAACAAATGTATATTTGACATTTTCGTTGATCTTGATCCACGTTCTTCTTCCGAAAAGAAAATGTAAGATCGATTAGTTTGAAAATTTTGAGAGAATAAAATGTAATATATAAAGTAATTAAATATATAATGTATACTTGACATTTTCTGCGACCTTGGTGACGTACTTTTCATTAAAACAAAATAACGATCAATTTAATTTTTCCATAATTAAGTAATACAAAATTTTTATTAGCAATACAAAAAATTTGAAATTATTTGTTATTTTTAACGTAATATTGACCTTTCTGTTTATTAATAGCTAAACAGTTGAAATATAAATAGTATATCTAATAGATAACAGATAAATATTATGTTATAAACTATTTATAATTCAAACATATACAGGTAAAAGGACACTTCTATCATGACATTTTGGTTTTATGTTAGAAATAAACCAATATCGAACTTGATTTTTTTAATTAAACTCTAAATAAGTTTGTTGAACAATCTGAATAAAGAATAATCTGAATAAGAATATAATGTTAAGTCATAAATGAGAAAATATTACATGTAGTCCTTAAAAAATATTCTTATTACTAAGATGTTTAGTTTAAAGTCTTCAAGCTATTGACACATTTTTAAAAATAGTTTTGAATATTTCAAGCACCAAAAATAGAAATCAGATGGAATAGAAATCAGAAATGTTGCCTTAAGATTTCAAAAACAGTGCTAGAAAGATGTGTGCACAGAATAATTCAAATATTTATTAAAGTATCTAGTATTTTTGAAAACAAAGTTTATGCTCAAATATTTCGAGCTTAGTAAAATATTAAAAACACCTAACATTCTGAGATCCCTTTACCTGTAATAAACTAATTTTAATCAACTTATCTTTTAAACTCTTTTATGTAAAAGTTTTTAAATTTTTTTATATATACCTAACTTTAATAACAATAACTTTATTAATAACTTGATTTATAATAACTTTATTAATTATTAATAATACCCAACTTTATTAATAATAATTATTTATATATACCTAACTTTATTAATAATAATAATTCTAAATTATGAAATCTTAAAAGTTATATTTTTAAAATAACTGACCTATAGAGAACTAACATTTTGAAAATCTTTCATTTTTGAAAATGTAAAATCGGACATAATTTTTAATCTAAATACATGTCATTTTATAATATGTATATATATAAAATATGTACATTTTTATATAAATAGAATGCCTAATGTTCTTAAGTAACAGAGTGGTTATATATATATATATATATATATATATATATATATATATATATATATATATATATATATATATATATATATATATATATATATATATGTATGTATACCGCACCTGTATTTATATGTATATACAGGCGCGGATCCAGCAAGCTTTGATGCTTAAGATAACTAACTTCCAGACATGGAACAAACTTTAAAAATTTATATGTTTATACTTATGTCAAATAAGGGTGA